GATGTTAAAGTTGTGGGAAGGATTACATCAGAGCATCCAAGCTTAGGGTGTGCTGTGGCATGCAGTCGATGTTGAATGAGTGACTTTGTTACCATCATCGTTACTACTGTGCTTTCTCATTACAAAACCAAATGTATTCATGACAAATTTAAACTCGAAGCCTCTGTCCCAGGACCCGCTACAGGCCTCTTGGAATCACCTCCCTTATTCGTGGAGAGAATACTCGGGAGGATGAGGGAGACCCAGGGCTGACCTGGAGGGGAGGTGGACAGCGGGACAGCAGCCCTCCCACAGGAGCCAGGCGCCCCTCTTCCACCCATCTCCTTGACACCCCCTGTAGCTTCCTTCTCAACACTACCAGCTAGAAATGGGACTTGGCTTTTTAAACTCAGCCCCGATGCGACCACACTCAAGCTGGAGAAATGCATGTCCTGCTCCATCAGGACAGGACAGGCAGGAGGACCAGGAGAGACACTCCCAGGCCAATGCGCATGAGCCTTGGGTCCAAATCTCAGCAAGAAGATCCAAGAGAAGACCCAAGGGAGGTCTTCTCCCCCGGAGTCAGGGCTTCTTCCCTGGAGAGAGGGTTGCAGGTGCTTCCCATCCTCTCGGGTCCATGAGTGACTGCTCAAAGGGACAAGGCCTCCTGGGGAGGCACTTCTGTCCCTTGTCAGGTTAAGTCCTTCACCGGTCCCCACCACAGACAGGACAGGGCGCACTGAAGCTCCACTGTGCGCATCACAGTCTTCCTGGCTGGGACCCTCTCGCCCATTCCCCAGACCCTTCTGCAAAGTTCAGGAGTGAGGAACTCGGCGGCGTAGCCCCACTGCAGGCAGGGGTTGGATCCCAGCCACACCACTGGCCATGAGCTCAGACACATCGCCAGTCACTTGACCTCCCTGAGACTCAGATTTTTGGCCTCTCAGTAGGAAGCATCCAGGGCAGACCAGCGAGGAAATGCAATTGACCCCTGACCAGACTCCCAGCCCCGCGGCCACCCGCTGCGGGATCTGCAGGCTGTGGAAGGAGCTGAGTCAGGGGTGCTTGGGGGATGTATTGGGAGGGGAACCTGCACCCTCGCTGGCGGGGGTGGAAGGGGAGGCAGAGGCCAAGGGCTGCCTTCAGGCACCATCTCAACGAGAGAATCAGGAACTAGAGCCCCCAGCTGTGAGGGCCCTGTGAGATTTCTTCAACTTTTGTCACTTCCCCACTTTTTCCCCTTTGGTTACCACCCTTCTGCCCGGCGTGACTGTTAATTAACCCCTTACAGCTGCAAGGGCTGGCCTGCAGGGTCAGCAAAGACAGGAGCCAGAGGACAGCCCCACCCCAGCCCAGGCCAGTCCCGAGATGGGGCCAAGCCAGCAGGGCCTAGGTCCAGGCTGAGTGGGTGAGGGGCGGCCCAGGCCTGGAGCCACTGCAGCCAGAAAGGTCCTGGGCCCCCAGCCACCCTCTGGATAAACTCCTGGTGAACGTCCAGGCCTGGTTGTGCCACAGGCCCGGCTCCCAGTAAGTTGCTGCACGGGGAGGAGGTGATCTTGCCCTGCGACTGCTGCTTTGCTGGTTATGCTCACCTCTGCCTGGATCCACCCGCTGGCTGCTTCCGTGTCTCCTCCACTCCCAGGCCTGGGGGACAAAGCTCAGGAGGGAGGCGTAGAGCGCCAGGCCCTTGTGGCTGCCCTGGCTCCATGCAACTGAACTCAGCCCCAGGGGATCTCTGCTCTGACTAGAGAAGGTCCAGGGAGAGGAAGGGGCTGAGGAGGGGAGCAGAGCACACCCCAGCACACTCCATGATTCGTCTGGACCCAGCGCCTCTGCCAGTGTCCGTGCGTGTGCACGTGTGTGCACTAGGGGTAGCGTGTTTGTGGCACTTTCGACCTGAAAACACACAGTATCTCTCCAATCCTCACAGCAGTCTCATGAGCAGAAACGTTTGTGTCAATACACAGATAGGGACACCAAGGTTTGGACTGACTCAGTGACTGGCGGGGATTCTCACGCAGCCTGGGGGGCTCCCACGGTGGTCCCTGCGGACATCCTGGAACTCTGCTGCAGGTGGTCGCGGTTGCCAGGCAGCACCAGCCCATCTCTGAGACTTCCACACACGGAGGTTTACTAGTAACTCATTTGCATATCAGCCTCTTGCTGGCAAGATCTCTTCCCTACCCCAGCTCAAAGGCTCGGTGCTGCCATCCAAGCCAGCTTCCTGTGTTCTGTCCAGAGCAGAGGAGAGAGAACCACCCACCTAACACCCTTCGTGTAAAAAGCCGTAATCCTCCTGTGCTTGCAGACTTCACCACCAGCCTGCAGCCTCACCTTCCCCCAAACTTCCCTCCCGGTTCTAATTTTTCAGTCTTTTACTCATCTCTGGGGGAAGCGGCCCGGGGGGCGGGAGGCACGTGGGAGGCCGAGAGCTCGGTGTTGAAGTCGGTGGCAGCCCCGGGCTTGTGCTCACCCAGCAGTACCGGCCCCACTGCTGCCTCGGAGAGACAGAGTAAGATCCACATCCTAGCCCAGTGCCAGGCCCGGGGAAGGCACGAGACGAACAGGCCCAAACCAGCCAGGACCTGGGCAAGCCCCTCCAGCCAGTGCCTCTGACCTCAGCCCCATGAGTCCAGATCCTTCCTCCCTGGGCAGATCCCTTCCCACCCACATTGGATGTCCTCTGCAAAACATCACACGTCTTCTGTTCTCCATTCCTGGAGATCGTGACACCATCACACAGGCCTGAGCCCTCGAGACATCACTCTGAGCCCTGCTCTGTGTGATGGCCCGTGGAGGCCCTGGTCCTCCAGCTTGTCATCCAGAGAACGGGACTAATGCTCCCTTTAGCTCCTGGTTTGGGGGTGGGGGAGGTTTGTCACACAGCGAAGAGCAACGGCCTAACTGAACTCTAGATAGGTAACATGTATCACTCTCTGCAATCTGCAAGCTCCACACTCTGCCTGGGAAGATTAGATTAGTAAGCGCCCGGTCATCGGAAAATCCAGCTCCAGATACCTAGTATCTTGTTTTCTTCCTTCTGTGCCCACAATGTTTGTGAGGCTAACTTGGCTGGCATTTTTTCAAGTGTAGAAACAAAGCAGGCAGCTTTCTCCTTTCCAGGCAGGGCGTCCCTGACTTCAGTCATCTCCCACCCTTGACTCTTCCCCCAGACACCTCCTCCAGCCCTCTGAGTTTTCCCAAATGGGGCCCAGGCCAGACTCCAGCTATGTCTTGGGGCCCTGGGCACCAGGCCTCCCCTCCCTCCCCTCCCGTTTGCCGATCATTGTCATCGACGCTGGGTTTTCCAGAAAGAAGCACAGCCTGTGTGTCTCAGGGTCCTTCTCCCATCTCCTCTCGGCCTCCTGGTTGGTGGGCTCCACACAGCAATACCAGCCCCCACGCATCCTGACAACTACTTCCCAGAATCGGTCATTTGGCAGGATTTGAAATCATTACTGCTTCCAGGCCTGTTTGCATGTCACACTCCTGGGAGAGATTATTAAAAGCATAATTTTTAAACAGACAAGAGCAAAGCAGCCCGTTTGGCTAGGGTCTGATGGCTACATCACACCCTCTGGAGAGAAGGACAGCAGTGAAGTTCTGCAGGCAACTCCTGCCGGTCTTGGACGTGATGGAAACTCAGGAGGTCACGAGGCCCCTCAGTCGTTCTACCTGACATCGCCAAAACTGGAGGTCTCCTGGGAAGCTGTCTTTTTCATCTCCATTCCAGGAGCCGAGTCGGACTTGCTTTCTAAGCTGGGGCTTCTCAGATGGGGCTGAGCCCGCAGAGGGTCGGGAGAGCACGAGTCTGGGCCGGGCTGTCCCTTCCTCCCACACTGGGTCCTGCCACATCACTGCCAGCCTGCCAACACCCCCTGACCTGGCTGTCCACGTGGCCTAAGCTTTCCTGTCTTTTCAGGCCAGTCTTAACCTTGGATCAAAGGATCCAACTCAGGCAGAGACTCACCTCTCATAAGATGCTGCATCTGGGGCATGACTGCACTTGGTGAAAGGGGAGAAAGTAAAGGGAGCTCCTGCGTGGGTGACAGGCTAAACTTGCTGATGCCAGGACTCAGTGGCTCTCGGGGAAAGAGGACGCCAGGCTGAACATTTTCAGGAAGCTCCAATCCAGCTAGCCAGCCTTTCCTGCTGGCAAATCAGCTCCCAGGGCCTGGGCTCCCGGGGAGAAAGGAATCCAGAGACCTTAGACAGAGAGACATCAGGCCAAGTGGGGACCGAAAATTTTACATCTTAAAAATACCTCAGCTCTTTTCATTCTCTGGTTGAACTTGTCGAGTCTTCTCCTGCCCAAAAAGCAACTGCAAGTGAATGCCTGGACCAATGGAAAACGCTCAGGAGGGCCCCGGCTCCCGCTGAGCCCAGCCCCTTCTCCCTCAGTCTCCTTCTTTCTCTGTGTCTCTCTGCCAGTCCCCACCCTCTCTCCTCTCTCCCTGTCCTGGCCCCATCATGGTCCCTCTCGTGTGCATTTCTGTCTTTGCTCTCCTGCCCCACGTCTTTCTCTCTCTCTCCTTTCTTTCCACCCTCAACCTTCCCTTCTTAGCCTGGAGAAAGCTGTAATTTAGGGCCTGTCTCCCCAAATGAATCTCTCAATATCTACAAATGTTAACTTCATTAATTTGGGAAGGATTTATCAGTACAGAGGTTAATTGTCTTTCCCTGACATGTTTTTACGGAATACATCTGGGTGACAAAATTAATTTCCTCATTAGCTATTTTTGAAAGTGGAACAAGCTGAGGGGAATCAGTGCAGGGAGAGTTTGTGCCATGTGAGCTGTTCCGGGCTCCCCACAATCTGCCTGGGTGCTCCCTCCCATCAGAGATCATGGGGGCCTTCCGAGGGTCTGAGCTCTGCAGGACATCCCGGCTGAGACAGGCTGGAGGCAGGTCTCTCTGGGCCCAAGAGCTCCAGGGATGGCCTCAGGCTGAGTGGGGCGACCCAGGCCCACCTGGCTGCCCCAGCGCTCTTCCTTTCCCTTGTGGGAAAGTGACTTCTTGGTGGGACACCCAAACCACTGCTCCTTTGAACAGACGAGGAGATGCAGACAGAAACCGAGATCTCCCAAACAGCCCCAGCTCAAGACCTGTTCAGCTGGATCCAGGAAGCCAGACCCAGGAAACCAGACCCAGTTATTCTGAGGGCCTTGGGAGTTAGAAGTGTGTGTCCTTCATCGGGCCCTGATTAGCCAGACCCACAGGTGCTTCCTGGGGTGACTTCCAGCCCAGACGCCCCAGTGTGGAGTGGCCCCAGGACCACTGCACTTCTCCCTAAGGGAGAGGAGGATGTGGGAGCTGGCCAAGTGCCCAGCCCTAGAATTCAGACTGGGGACATCTTGGACCACCTACTGGAAAAGTGGCCACGTGTTGGGACCTATATTCTGGTGCAGGTGTCAAGCAGCTAAGAGCCTGGGACCGTGGGCCATGCACCCAGCTTCTCAAGGCCTCGGTTTCCTTGACTATGAAGAAAATGGCTGCGTCACTGCCAGTCCCAGGAACCTCCCAGACCCAGACCCCGAGGCTAGCCCTGCCCGCTCTCATCTCGCTGTAACCTGTCTTCCCTCGCGGAGTCGCTCTCACTTCACTCGGACCATTTCCCCAGGATTGCTCAGGACAAAATCCAGACCAGGCAGCACCCAGCATCCAGGGTTTCTCCGTGCAGAGCATCATCCTCCTCTACCCAGACCCTCCCAGGCCAGCAGGCACAAGCTCTTGGCCACATTCTATTAGAGCAGAGAGGAAAAGAGACCCTGGGGGTCAGGAGACTGCCCTGGGCCCAGGCAAGCACAGAGGCCAGAAGGCCATTCCTCTCTGGACCAAAGCCCTGACCCCACTGGGGGATCCCAGCCTCCCGTGTCATCCCTGACCCCATTGCAGGATCCCAGCCTCCTGTCATTCCCGACCCCACTAGGGACCCAGCCTCCTGTCTCATCCCCAACCCCAGTGGGGGACCCCAACCTCCCATGTCATTCCCAACCCCAGTGGGGGACACTAGCCTCCCAGGTCATCCCCAGCCCCAAAGGGGGACCCCAGCCTCCCGTGTCATCCCCGGCCCCATTGGGGGACCCCAGCCTCCTGTGTCATCCGTGTCCTCACCGCAGGGCCCCAGCCTCCCATGTTATCGACCCCTTCCTTTCTAGGAAACAAGGCGTGGGCCGCAGCGTTCGAGTTGGTCCTGAATTTCCTGTTTCTTTAAGCTGAGACATTTTACACACATGGGCACACTCCCCGGCTGCCACTTCTGACCTAGCCCAGAGAATTTCACGCAGCAGCAATTTCAGTAACAGGAAAAACCAGACCCAGGGAGCTATCTGAATGTCACAAGCCAGTCGCCTGGGGCAGGAATAGGACGGGCTGCCAGGCTCTCCCTCCCTGTCTCCACTTCCTTTCTCACGGCCACTGCTCCCTCCTGAAGGTGGCAGCAAGGGCAGAAGGATCCTTGGGACAGACGGCTTCCCATCCTTCCCTGGGGCCTCCAGGACCACCGTCCCTTCCCCATACCCTCCTACCCACCGCGGAACAACCCTGGCTGCTGTACACACAAGCGGGGACCCTCGTAATTGCGTTCAGTTGGGCTGTGCTGAGCCCTCCTTCCCAGAGACCCTTCTCGTCAGCTGCACTCCGCTTTCAGCCTGAAACAGTGTAACAGTGTCTCCACAATCGCCAGGCTCTGTGGCAGCCCTCCCTGCAGTCAGCCTGCCTCATGCAGGCTTTTCTGAAACAGGACTTCTTTGCTGGGGAGGTCAATGGACAGGATTCTGGCCACGAAGCGGGATCGAGGAGGATGTGCCCCTGCTCCCCAAAAGCGAGAGAGGTACTCCGCTGGCCTGCGGGATGACCAGGAACAGGCCTCAGGGTTCCCCACGTCCCTGACACTGAGCCTGTGGATGAAGTGAATCTGTCATCAGGGGAACAGGGGGGTCGAGGAAGGCCTCCCAGAGGGGCTGATCACAGAGCTGGGTTCTGAAGGATGAAGAGGAGTTTGCAAAGCCAATCAAAGGAAAGGGCATGCAGAGGGAGGTTTGGGACTTAGGAAGAGCCCAGCCCCACTGGGGAGCTTCAAGCTGCTCCGTGCTGCTGCCACATGCCCTTCAGAAGGGGAATGGAGCACAGGTGACAGAAGGAGCCCTGGTGCCTTCCTGCAGGGGCTCTTAGCGGGAATTAGGCAAGACCAGTGGCAGAATACAACTTGTGGGTTAGGAAAAGACCCTGGGAGGCTGTGCAGAAACCAGCCCAGGGCTGTGGGAGCCAAGCAAAATTCTACCTTGAAAGTGGGGAGCTCTGGTCATAAGAGACTTCCTTCTAATGTGAGCATTTCCTCTATGAAAGAGAATGGAGGGACATTTACAGACATCGTCAGATGAATTCTCAGAAAACCTTGGGGAGGAAATTGGAAAGCCCTGCCTGCCCCAGGCATGGCAGGCATACCGCGTTCCTGGCTAGTGAAGTGGTTTGCTCAGGAGTTTTTGCAGAACCCGAAAAGTTAGATGGAACCCCATTTTAGAGATGAGGAAACCGAGATAGAGGATGCTTTGGATGACAGTACTTTGGTGCCTGTGCCAGGAATCGCACCTGGATCACCCCGGACCACCTGCCTTTGATGTGGCGTGGCAGCTGCATACATTTTCCTGTGCAGGCACTTGGGTGGCCTGTGTTGCCTCCAAATCCGGACATCTGGCGGCTTCTCGGTGACCCCACCTGAAATCCAATCCACCTCTTCCGAAGCCAGCAGATAGTGAATTGCTCAGTAAGAAAAAGGTCTGTGCAAAACAGGAGACTAGAAAAAAACCTCAGTGCCTCCAGGAACCTCATGTGAGCTCCGTTTGACTCTGCAGAAGCAAGTTCCTTGCTTTTAGAGGAGTGATTGGGGCTGGGCATCATCCAGACCTGTGTGCAATTATTGGCTGAAGGCGGCTCTCCCACTAGATGGAAGCGCCCAGAGAACCAGGCAGTGGAAGGTGCGTGACTGGGGGGAATGAAGGATGGCTATCCTGAGGCTGCGCTCGAATGGAGGCTTATTTAACATGGAGCCTTGTGCAAAACACCCCGGGGACAGGCCCCTACAGAATCGAGATCACTCCGTGTGATCTGCTGCTTCCCTCTCCAGTGCTTTTTATCTTTGAACAGAGCAAATCCTGGCTCCACTGAGACCTGCTCCATGACAGCCAAATGCAGCCACTGCACCAGGTTGCGGGTGAGGAACTTCTCGGCCATTCCGACAAGGCCTGGTCATCAAAAGCCACGATTTTCTTGCATTCTGGGCCTTGTGACTTCTTGAGATGCGAAAAATGAAGGGCTGTTCCACGATTTTGTTCTCAGTCTAAAGGATCATTGCTTTGGAAAGCGGTCAGATTCTGCCTTTGGTTGATTTTAGGATCCAAAACTATGGCGATGGGAAAAGGGAAATGCATTTTAGGATTTCAGGTATTTTCTAAAATGTGCACATGATTATATCCTGCAATCTTAAGGGTTCATGCATCTCACGCTCAACCAAGAGTCTCTACTGGCCTAAATGATCAAAGCATTTCCAGGAATTATTCAAGAAAAAAAATCTGCTCCCATCACTCACTGGCTGAAACACCCTCAGCGGCTCCCTCTGCCCTCGGATGCAGTCACCCTCCTTCCTGAGCTTAGTGAGGGCTGTACTAAGCGCTTTGCATTATTCTCTCATTTAAGTCTCACAACAATCACAAAAGGAACCATCATTAGACCCATTGAATGAATGAGAAAACTGATCCTTAGAGAAGTCAGGGACTGGTTCAAGCTGACTGTGCTGTATAGTGTCAGAGCGGGGATGACCCCAAACCCACCAAGGCCATTATTAGCACCCCCAAACTCCATGACCATCTCCTAACTCTATCCCTCCCCCTCATCTAATTCCTACCCATGGATGATACTGTTTGTGTCTCACCTACTACTCCAGTGAGCCCCTCCTGCTCACCTCCCTGGGCCCCAGGCCAGCCCCCCTGGGTGCTCCTGGCAGCAAAGCCCACATCTGATTAGGGAACTTCTTATTAGGAGGCTTCCTTGTTTGCTTTATCCACCTTCTCCAGACTGGGACCCCTGGAGACAGAGCCCTGTGCTCCGGAGGCCAGGTGGTCCCTTGCTGTGCCCGGCACAGAACCTGGTGCCCACAAGGAAGGCAGTAAATCTGTGTGGAGATTTCATTTCATTCTGCATTGGAGGATCATTTTCATGCTCCACAACCTACTGCTATCAATAAAATTAATACTACCTTCCAGTAAAGTTTAGAGTGGTGCTTCTCACACTGGAGTAGGCAACAGGGCCACCCAGAGAGTCAGGTAAAACTCAGAGGCGCTGGCTCCAGAGGCCCAGACAGGTGAGGCTGCGTGGCTGGTCCTGCCCCCGTCTCTGAGGGGCACTGCTCCGCAGCCGGGAGCCCACCCTTGAGTGCAACACTCAGCAACCAAAGGCACCTGGCTGGGCGATGACTGACAGTGAGGCGGCTCCAAAACTCCCTTCCACAGCATTTACAAAACAGACACAGTCAAAGTTTTCTATTTGGAGGAGTCATTTGCTGCAATAGGGGTTTTCCCTTCATTTTTGGAAATGCCATGAAATAAAATGTTAAATGTGACTCCAATATCCTGATCTGAGGCACAGACAACTCACCGCAGTTACACCTCAGAGAAAATGTGGGGCTCCCCGGGAGAGGGGCCGCACTCAGCCTGGAGTTATGTTCTGACTTCTCAAAACACGAAACCATTTATATTGGCTTTGGCGCATTCAAAAGAAAATTCCCTTATGTCGCATGCACGCGCGTGTGCACACAGAGATCAGCTTTCGGTTCACAATGAGTGTGCCCCTGGGTCTTTTCTGCGTCTCACTCACTGAGGCCTGGGGGACCAGGCCCAGGGGGACTGACGGGGCGCCTCCGTCTGTGCTCCCTGTCCCCGTTGGCCAGAGCTGGTGAATCACCCGGCCTCAGCAGCCTGCGTCCTTTCCCAATTACCGTAGCTGTCAGAGCTGACTAAAAAACCAGTAGCAGCTGGCAGGAAATGGGTAAGAAAACTGACCACAGATAAACTGTAGGACTCTACAGAGCAGCAGCAGATAGACTCGGGGACAGGAAGTGGAGCTGTTAGGACTCGGCCCTCGCCTGCTCCCGGGCACCTCAGGGTCATCTAAGGGTGCACGTACCTGAGATGCTGCGGTGCTCGCGTCACGCAGTGACCCCGCAGCAGCCATGGCCCCTGAAGGGAAAGAAGCAGTCAGGAGTGGTGGAGAAGCACCCCCAAAAGCCCTGGGCTTTGAGATTCCTGCGAAGGCAGTGGTTCTGCTAGTCTGGGGATGATGGAATCACGGCCGGCAGAGCCTGCACTGTTGGCGTCAAATGCCTGCTGGCCTTGCACTGCCTCACCAGGCTCTCTGCTGCCAAAATGACCAGCTCTCAGGCAGGGAGAGGCCACCGCACATTGAGAGCAGTGCTGGTGTTGAGGTGGGGAAGTGCTTCTCTATGGAGTTACAGGTCCAGCGCTTTCAACACTCCCACTGCGTTTCAGCCTATGCCAAGGACAGGCCCTTTGGAATCCCTAGTGATGAGAAAGTAGCAGCCAGGTGGCATGCCGGATCCTTCCATGCATCGTCCCATTCCTGTTCACACGCCCTAGGAGGCAGCTCAGACTATCCCCATTTTACAGATGTGCAAACGGAGGCTCAGGATTAAATAGGTCTGGCCCTGGGTTCCACCACCTATGAGGGGCAGAGCCCGGATTCAAAGGCTGACTGAGGTCTCTGCCCTGACGACCTCTGCTCACAGCAGGCCGCTAGGTGCTGAGATGGGAAGAGGAGAGAAGGGGTCAGAGGGAGACGGGGGGTGAGCACAGCTGAGGAGCCTTGCCTGGGCCCTGATCTTTCACCCAGAAAGAAAATGGGGTGGTCAGTGTTTAATCACATCTTCCAGTGGCCCAAGCTGGATGTCTACCCAGAACACCGCCTCAAACAGCCCAACAAGGGGCACCCACCCTCTCCGCACCAAGGCAGACCCAAGGTGCTTCCAGGGGCAGCCAGAGAAGGGTGGCTTCTGTGTGGCCTGCTCTGGGACAAGCTACTGTGACAAGAAGCTGCAGCATCTGCTATTGAATTTGTGACCTGGGCCTTGGTCCCTCAGAGGGTGCTGGGCACAGTTGGGGCAGAGGGCGAGGGTCTCCTTCCCATCTCTGGGAGGTGGCAGAGTGCACCTGCTCCACGGAGCTTGCGTGGCCCCCTCTGCCGGCGCCCGGTCCAGCTCTCGGGTGAGCGAGATGGGAGTTCAGCTGGGCGTGACTCACCCTGTTCCTGGAACTGTCTGAAGGCGGGAGGATGCTGTGGGTAGGCTCTAACTGTATCATCTGGGCTGGGGCCGGTAGCAGATGGTCCTTATAAAAAAAAAAAAAAAAAAGTACTTCCATGTGGGCTTAAAATAGCACTGCACTCACCATCAGCTGAATGGGGAAATGTACGAGCCAGTCTTTCACGTGGGAGTGGGCACTGCAGGCTGGAGGTTGGGACAAGGGGCCCAGACACCAGCCACAGCGACTGAGCCCAGGAGGCAGAGAGGAGACGCCTCAGCACCCACTTTGTGCCTGGCCTAGACCAGGCAGGTGGCAGACACGGCCCCAAGCAGGCCCCGCACGACGATGAAGATGACAGTGAAGCCACAGAACCCTCCCGGTTGCTGCATGGGAGCCGGCTGGGAAACTGAGACGCCACAACACCGGCCATCCACCACCCTGCCAGCCTCTCAGTCAGTCCAGGAAAAGCCTTTCTGCATCCTGGAAGTCGGGAAGATGTGGCTACCTAAAGGGTGGCAGAAACAACTTTTGGTTCTGAGTCAATCTCTCTCTTTCCCCGGGCCCTACAGGAACGTAAGAGTGAGACCTGGAGCCTCTGGAGTCCACCCCTCACCGATGTGTGTCCTGGGGCAGGTCACTTCCTCTTTCTGGGCCTCAGTTTCCTTATCTATAAAATGGACAGAAGCCCCACCTTCTCTAGGTCGAAGCCCAGCACCCAGAGGTGCTCTGTGAAGGGAGCCCACAGCCCTGCCTGGGTTCTCCCTTAGGCCCGAGAAAGCTCTTGGCCCCTTCTTCCCTTTTTAATACATCCCCTCATCTTTCTTTAAACCATGCTGCACTTTGACATGTAGAGGTGGTTGCTCTGAAAGTCGGGGTCTGGAGCGTCGCCTCTTGCTGCTGCTGAGTTGATGTGGAGGGATGGGGGTGACAGGAGGGAAGCCAGGGCAGGGACAGCAGGTGGGCAGGCTCACCCCGTGCAGCCCAGCAGCCAGGGCTCCCAGGCATGGCAGGCCACCTTCTCACCCTCCTGCCGCCCGCCCCGCCGAGGCTCAGCAAATCGGAGCCCAGGTCACCGTGGCCTTTGATGGGTGGAGACCCTCCCAGCTGCAGGGCAGGGTGAGGGAGCTCTGAGGGAGCCACAGGCCCTCAGTTGCTCACCCAAGGCAGAAGGTTTGTCAGAGGTGGAGGGTTTCCACTGAGCCTACCTTGGTGTTCTGTACGGACAAGCGTGTGGTGTGCTGCTAAATGTCGAACAACCAGCTCCACTGGGGCCTGGGGAGGGGATTAAAAATAGCTCTGATCTGTAGCGGGTGCCAATTCCGGCGGTATAAACACTCCCGCTGAAGCCGGTTTCATGCCCACATGTGGCGTTGGGAAGAGACCACAAATGGGCTGCCATGAGCTCCAACATCCAGCACAGGGCTGGTGAATACACAGTAATACGACCACCCTTCCCACACAGGCTCACGTCCATCGGGGGCACAGACATGTGACAATGGCCCAGGCTCAACTGAAAGGCGGCAGAGCAAAAGAGTCAAGGCGTTAAGACCCGGACCCTTGAGTTAGGCTCAGGAAAACTGTGTCTGATTCATCCCGGCTCTAGTTACCAGCTGTGTGGCCTTGGGCAAGTTGCATAACCACTTTGGGCCTCGTATGTAAAGCGAAGATGATAATAGCATCTGCCCTTTCACATGGGTGTCTATTTTGCAGTAATGACCTGCAGTCACGAGCTGTTCTTTTTAAGGGATGGAACTGAGGGACAACACATCTGCCAGGAGAATGCTGAGGCCTCTCCCTCCCGAAATTAAAGAAGAAAAGCCTTCCCTCAACCCCGCAGCCTCCCCAGCTACTCCTTCACCTCTCTTCCCTCACACGCATCTTCTAAGGGTTTCCAGGCCGCCCCCACTTCCTCCCCTCCACCCACTCACCCCACGCTGCCAAGCGGCCTCTGCCTCACCACTCCTCCAAGGTGGATCTTGCCAATGTCACCAACAACCCCATTTTCTAAAGCCGAGAGACATTTCTGTCATCCTCAGACTCTACGTCCCAGCAGCCCTAAGCCCTGCTGCACAAGCAACTTTCGAAACAAGCGTGTTCCCAGTGTCTATGACAGGTCCATCCCCTCTCCTCCCCTCTGTCCGTTCTCTTTCTGTCTCTTTGACTGGGCCAGAGTCCTCTACCTGGCTGTTAAAACTGGGGTGCCTCAAGTCATAGGGGGAGCTGTGTCTTCTGATGAACTCCCTCTCTAGGCTGGTCCCCGACTCCAACGGCCTCTACTGCTATCTGCATCAGTCTCTCCCAGTGGTACCTCCAGCCCTGACCTCACCTCTGGCCCCTGGACAGCTTCACCATGACAGGTCTATTCCACACCGCCCCCTCACACACACGATGCCTCAGAGGTCCCCAGGTTCTCCATGCCCGAAACTGTGCTCACCACCCACTCCCAGGCCCATGGTAATACCACCACTGTCCGCCACTCATCTTCCCACCTTCCTCTCTGTTGCCCCCAGGTCTACCCCACCCCAAGTCCTACCTCCCGCCCAAGGCCTGCACAGCCCTCCCTTTATGTCTTCTGTCTTCATCCTTGTGCCCCCCTTCCCAACCCCATCCAAGCAAGAGCCATCTCTCTGCGTGCCAGGCCCGTGGCCCTTGGGCTGGGCCCTCCGTCCCCACACTTGCCCTCTCATCTGTCTTCCACATCCTTCCAGGGCGATCATCCCAAGTCTGAGATGTGGTCAGGTCACCCATGTGCCAAAAACTCCTGGGGACCAGGACCCCGGTGCAGCTCCTCAGGGCCTATGTGCCTCACCTTGGCCTGGGTCTCCCGATTCCTCTCCCACCATCCCCCTGGCCGTCTGCAGTCCTCATATGGGCCACATCCTCCCTCCCAGGGTTTAGGGGATGTCATTGTCTCTGCCTGGAACAATCTTCGTCTTATCCTCACCCCCACCGCACCCCTTTAACCCAGTGGTTCCGAGTTTGGCCACCCATGGCTTCCCCAAGGAAGCCCTCCTCCTTCCTCCATGTCCCCTCCCCGCCTAGACGGTGCTGCACTGCTCCCTCTCTGAGCACCCTGGCCCTGTCTATTCCCCCTCTGAGCGCCCTGGCCCTGTATATTCCCCCTCTGAGCGCCCTGGCCCTGTCTATTCCCCCTCTGAGCGCCCTGGGCCCTGTCTATTCCCTCTCTGAGCGCCCTGGGCCCTGTCTTCACAGCAGTTCACAGGGCTGGTAACTGTTCACTTGTTTGTGTGGCTAATTAACTAATGCTTACCTTTCGCACCAGACTCTTCATCCCCGAAGGTGTAACTGACTGGCATTTCCAGCGGTGGAATGCTTCACCATGCAGTGCTGTCCGTGAACAGCAGGAGGGTCCCCAGCCCCCACCCACTCAATGCCAATGGCTCTCTCAGGCGTTGTGACAAGCCTCAAAGGCACTCAGGCCTTCCCACAGCCCCAGGAGGCTGGACCGCCCCAGGGAGCCCTGCCCCGCTAGGTGCAAAGAGCCACAGGGACAGGAGCTACGTCTGGGTTTGCTCAACCCCAGTGCTTTAAGGTGCCAGCATAAAGTGGACACTCAGAAAAGGCGTGTTGAATGTATTAATGGGCAGCTCCTACCTGCAGGCTTCCACATGGCTGCTCTGACTACCTTTGCGGGTGCTGCAAGGATTTCGCCTTTGGGGGTCCAGGAAGCCATCATGCCTGTAGGCAGTGGTCCTCGGCCCCCTGGGGTGGGATCATGGCATGGCATCTGCCCAGAGCTCAATCAGGCAGGACCCAAAGCCAGCACCTCCCTTATCTCACCTGAATTTCAGCAGTTCAGGCACAGGTGATCAAATAGACTCTCCCTGGGCCACGTGGACAGGGGCAGGTGCTGCTGGTTTCTCTCTCTGATGGTCAGGACCTCAGCTCGCCCTACCTTCTGCCAACCTTCTACGTAGGCCCACCCAGGGCGCTGGCTGCCATAGAAAATACAAATTTGGAAGCATGCGCCAGGCCATCAGCACAGGGCGGGCACAGTTGCGGGGAGGGTACATGTGGCCCGAGGTGCCAGCACCAAGCTCAGGCTCCTGCTTAAAATCCTTTCCTGTGACTTTCAGCTTTCCTCTTCCTTTCACAGTGATCAGTCTCTTTTCCCATCATCCAAATTCCAGCCACTTCAGGGGACCTTCACCAAACTGGCAAGAATGAACATCTGGCTCCATTCAACAAACCTTTGTGCAACAAACATTTACCAAGCACTCACTTTGCACTAAGGGAACCTCCGTAGAACCGGTCTTCATGTCCCCTTCATGGCCTTGTGCATTTTCTCGAGGCCTCTGAATGTGTCATTTCTGTTCACTCTATCCAGATTAACAAGATGGCTCTGCACTTGTTCTGTGCCTGGACAGTCTAGGACCTCACAAGCAGCAACCAGTATCTCCACCTGGTCCTGGCCTCCGCAGGCTCACGGCTAATGACATCTCTCTCACCATCTGTCCACTTTAACTCCGCCCTCTCATTCTGCATCAAGCACTCTGCCAAGTCTTCCTGGAGACCCTTCAGAGCTGGTGATATGGTTTGGATGTGTGTCCCCTCCAAATCTCATGTTGAAATGTGATCCCCAGTGCTGGAGGTGGGGCCTGGAAGGGGGTGATTGTGTCATGGGAGCCCTCATGAATGGCTTGGTACCTTTCTAGTGGTAATGAGTTACCACAAGATCTGCTGGTTAGAGCCTGGGGTCTTCCCCACTCTCTTGTTCCCTGTCTCACCAGGGGAGCACCTGCTCCCCTTCACCTTCTGCCATGAGTGGCAGCTTCCTGATGTTCTTGCCTAAAGCAGATATGCCAGTTCCATGCTTTTACAGCCAGCAGAATGGTGAGCCAAATACACCTCTTTTCTTTGTAAATTACCCAGCATCAGGTCTTCCCTTACAGCAATGCAAAATGGACTAACACAGTTGGGAAGAGAAGAGGTTACACATCTGAGACCCTCAGAGAACAAATTCAAGAGTTTTTCATGGAGAATCAGAGTGTGCAGTGCCAAGGAGAGGCCAGCATGCACTGGGGCAGTAAGGAGAAGTTGTAGGCAGGATGGGCGTTCAGCTG